CATCACTTACAGGAGCCAGTTTTACTGGAAACCAGTCCCAGCTGGGCTGTTTCTCTTGTATTGTTCTAGACGTTGCAGCCAATTAAGTCCTTATTTCGCACGTCTGTCATGTTTCTGCGTGCTTACAGCAGATGGTGGTGAGGGAAGTTTAAAGATTTAAGAACTCTCACAGAGATCTCTGATAACTCCAGCAGAGCCCGATCACTCGTCCTGCTGCTGAACAGCATTGGGTAACATCTCACGTACAGCATGTGCTGATGAGCACGTCGGGTGGTGAAAGTGTGACAACAGTGAGTATCCCGGTACGACGATGAGGTCACTGCTGACCGTGATGCTGTGCCATGTGACCACAGACACCGTGATAACCACGGAGGCTTTTATGAACGCTGCCTCAGACAGCAAACACCTTCAACTGTCTGACCAAGTGGATTATTGCTTTACTCATTAGATAGCACTGACTTCATTGGTACATATTTACTGTCTACTCATAGAGTGAAGTATGAAGCAGCTGTAGTACTTCCTGTATTGATCAACAGCTGAGCGATATGGCAAACTGGATAAACTGTGCTTCTTCTCTCTGGAGCTACAGCAGCAGGCAGACAGGTGAAGTGTGGAGGAGTGGAGACATATCCTCTGCAGCACCAAACATGGCCATCAACAGCCACTAAATCCACAATTAGCCATCATGGCTCAATACAGCAAAGATAGAGCGTGATAGCAGCGGGCTGTGGCAGAGCACATTCACCACTGATCACAAGTGTCATTTGTCACATTTTCACAGTGATATTTGAAATCTCAGTTTTGAAGCTGGAGTGCGCTGCATCCTGTTTCTACCACGTCTAACAAGGCTTCAGCACTGTGCGCTACCACTCAAAGCACCAGGGATGTGCAGAGCTCAGTTGGATTGTCACAAATTTGAAACCCGTTTCACTTACACGTAGGCAGTCTTTGAATTTTGGGGTAATTTAGTTTAGCTGTGGTGTAAGCTGATGTTCTCTCCATGGGCGTGAGAGACGGTGAGCGGAGCTGGCAGCTTGCTGTCTGTGTACCGACGGAGCTGTGCAGCAGGAGCTGCAGCCAGCGGCAGGCCTAATGGAAGCTGATCAGGAGCTTAGGTCACTGCCATCTCAAATATAGTCATGGCACAGCAGACGTCAGCACTAACTCACCTTAGATTAGAGGCTGGAAGCATGTCTGTAACACACTCTGACACCTCAAAAAGAAGCCTCAGCCACAGCATTTCAATTACCTGCTTCCCCAGGAAAGTGCACAGCCTTACCCTGAAGACTCCACCGCACGCTGTCAGAGAAACCTCGGGAGAGAAGCTTCACGTTTCTGCTTCACTGGTTTTAAAAGAGATGCTCTGATTTATTAATGCATTTATATATTAGTTTGTTTGTTTGGGTTGAAAGGACTGATTGAGCCCAAACCTCCCCGACGTGCCGGACGCCTGCAGTTCCCTCAGATTTACATGCACTCAGTTTTCTAACTAAATAATACAAATATATCTCCTTTGTGGCGATAAATAATCAATAATCAGTTGGTCATCTTGTAGACGGACAGCTCCACATTCTTGAACTGAAGGTAGCCACAGTAGTCCTTGTTGTGCACATGGACCAGTTCTCCAGTGCAGCTTCACACCCGGACCACTGTCTTCTTCCCTTCTCTGTATTATTGTAGCTACTGACAGTATGAAGCAGCTCGAGGCAACTGTACGAATAAAGTTTAATTGAATGAGAAACGCTGCACTGTGAAATCTATATCATGTGATTCATACGGCATTCATATTTAGCAACTGCTCAGTGAGCGGACGGCCCAACACAGCAGAGCCTCTGTTCACACCTGCAGGCCAGTGGACACTTCAAGGATGAGGACGTAACGTCCTGGACAGGGAGGAACGCTGGTTTGAGGGCGGAGCCAAGGAGGGAAAGACCATCTGAATGGAGGAGGGGGCCTGAGGGTCCATCTGTCACCTGTGAATGGTGGAGAAGCATCAAGACGCTCAGTGGGGCCTCGTGTCACATGAGACGGGAGCGCCGCTCTCAGAGGGAACAACATATGATGAAGTGTGATTACTCAGAAAAACAATCGTATTTATTTGTAGTGAGCATTTTTCAAAGGAGGCGTGATGACACTGACCCTGGACGAGCACTGACAGACCCACTGATCCCTCAGTGTGTGGTTGTGTCACTGCTGTGTGATGTTGGTGTGGGTGACTCAGGCAGAGAGGGAGTGTGAAGGACGCACAACAGTGTGTTTCCATGAAACAGGTTGTGTTGCTGTGACTTCTGACCACACAGCTGAATGTCCGCACTCAGCTGTGGACGCACAAGTTTGACACACAGGGACGTCCAAACATGCTGAAAAGCTCCTGTCATAAATAATTTCAGGGTGGATCGGAGGTTCTGTGAGTCGCCATCTTGACCTGCTTGAAAGAAACCAGGAACATGTTTCAGTGTGTGTGGAGGAAGTGAGAGCGTGTGTGCAGGAAGTGAGAGCGTGTGTGCAGGAAGTGAGAGCGTGTGTGCAGGAAGTGAGAGCGCTTATGGAGGAAGTGAGAGCGTGTGTGCAGGAAGTGAGAACGCGTATGGAGGAAGTGAGAGCGTGTGTGCAGGAAGTGAGAACGCGTATGGAGGAAGTGAGAGTGTGTGTGCAGGAAGTGAGAACGCATATGGAGGAAGTGAGAGCGCGTGTGGAGGAAGTGAGAGCGTGTGTGCAGGAAGTGAGCGCGTGTGGAGGAAGTGAGAGCGCGTATGGAGGAAGTGAGAGTGTGTGTGCAGGAAGTGAGAGCGCGTATGGAGGAAGTGAGAGCGCGTGTGCAGGAAGTGAGAGCGTGTGTGCAGGAAGTGAGAGCGCGTGTGGAGGAAGTGAGCGCGCGTGTGGAGGAAGTGAGCGCGCGTGGAGGAAGTGAGAGCGTGTGTGGAGGAAGTGAGAGCGTGTATGGAGGAAGTGAGAGTGTGGAGGAAGTGAGAGCGCGTGTGGAGGAAGTGAGCGCGCTGTGGAGGAAGTGAGCGCGCGTGCATAGGCCACGGCATGGAGAGAAGTGAGGTGCTGCGCTGCTAGCTGGGTAGGAATATTTTGACTGAGCGCGCGAATGTGGAGGACAGTGAGACGTGTGTGTGAGCCCGAGAAGTGAGCGCTATAGGAACGATCTGTGATCGTCTGGAGAGCGAGAAGCCAGTAGTGTCCAGTCTATGTAACCACACAGAGCTTTCGTCGTATCGGACTGTCAGTACCAACTAGTCTTCTAGAGATCCCTGTTTTCTGCATGCCTTGTTGTGTAAGACGCACAATATCACTCATGAGACTCCTATAACTAGCATCACACCTTGTCACCTCTAACGTCTCTCTTGCATACTCCCACTTCTGCATGCGTACTAGGTCAACCATGAAGTGTCATCTGGTATAAAACAACAGAGCTTGGTTCTATCCATGCACAGTGCAACCATAGTGAGCGGCAAGGTGTGCGAAAGGTTTACAGAGAGCGACATGTGCGATGCAGTTACAAAAGCATCATGATGACTGCGTACACACCGAATGGAAGGGTTTGAAAACTGAAACCAGTGTGGCAGTTTTTAAACGTGCACTCTTGTTAATGGCCACACTGGGAAATGCCACTGGCTGTAAAACACGTAGAAACACACCTGCGTGGCCTTACTGCTCACTCGGTGGTTCAATCCCAGGCTGCCTCCAGGCTGCATGCCAAATATCCTTGGGCAAGATACTAACCCGTGTTTGCCTACTGGTGGTGGTCAGAGGGCCCGGTGGCGCCAGTGTCCGGCAGCCTCGCCTCTGTCAGTGCGCCCCAGGGTGGCTGTGGCTACAATGTAGCTGCCATCACCAGTGTGTGAATGTGTGTGTGACTGGATGTAGTGTGAAGCGCTTTGGGGTCTGAGTAAAGCGCTATACAAATGCTTTTATTCATGATGATGTCATTTACAGTACATGACTGAGGATGTGTGTGACCTCAGATCCTCCGCTTTCAAATGTCGAGATGCTGTCGAGGTTTCACAGCAGGACTCGAACCATTACTCAAAGTCAAAGTGCAGCGTACAGAGAGACGAGCAGCGAGAAAAACAACCTGAGAAATTAAGAGGATCAAGAGAAGTTACAATTTAAACTGATGTCTCACTGGGTATCACAGAGATGACATTTGTGTTCAACACAGACGTTACCTCCTCAGTCACTGTGGGTGAGTAACCGTCTCCAGTGTCTCCGGTTCGGGGACATGTCAGACCGCTGTTCTCCAGTATGGAGACGTCTGCTTCTTTCCCTGGGACTCGCCACCTTCAGGCGACTCTGGTTGTGATTTGGCGCCACATGCAGAATAAGTAACGCACTGAAGCATAATAATAAGATGAGAAGAGACTGAAAAAGAAAAGAGCCGTGTGATTAAAACTGCAGTATTCTGAACAGACCAAGTGAAAGCTGGCAGTAACTTGTGGTACAAATCATTAGTCACCGAGGCTAACCAACAAATGTTTTTGGCTTTGCCTCTGTGACATTTTACCTGCACAGTCAGCCTCCAGCTTGTATCCACAGGGTTTGCATACAAATGCAGACAATCACTGCAATCCAAACACTCGTGGAGTGTGTGAGGCAGACAGCTGCTGGCAGTAATGGGATTTCTCTTTGCCGCGCAGCAGCCTGCTGGGCGCTGACCTCCATTTAGATGCCCAGAGAGAGAGATAAAGCCTTGTGATGAGGACTCCCCCGGTGGCCGGCCGGGTCACAGGGCTGCTGTCAGTCACAGCACACATCTCACTCTGTGTGCATGTGCTGTGAGCTGCAGATGCTGCTGGAGTGTGCAGCAGGCCTACAGCCGTGTGCATGTATTACACTCTGCTGTAGTAGGCTGCCAGTGGCTGATTACTGCATGTACTGTACAGGAAATGTTTGATTCCCGACTGCTGCTGCTGTTTTGTGTGAACACTTACAGCTGAGAGTCTGAGACTCGCCTCCACTCCTTCTGAAACTCCTTCTTTGACCATCTCTTTCAG